GCAGCAATAGAAATGGAAGTGGTTCTCTTTTACGGCATTTTTAACCAAAATGCCCTAGCACTGACATCCATCCAAATCTACAATTGATAAATTTTAAATATTGATAAAGCAAATATTGTAAATATTCCTTTGGAATGACTTGATTGGTTTAAAAACTATTATATGAGATGTGCACTTGAATCCTCAGCAGGAAAACTCCAAATATCTTCCGGAAACAAGGAACATGTTATAGATAACTAACTATTCCATATCATCTGTGTTCACTTATCACTATAATTTTTTTAGCAAAATATCATGGAAATCTCCAAAATAAGCTTCATCTTCTCCGAGCAAGTTTTGGATTCATTCGATTATTACCATCACTTTGACTACTGACCACTATGATAAACTCAGTGTCTTGATTGGCGTAAAATCTGTTAATGTGAATACCAATTCTCAGTTTTCATTCCAAGTTCCATGATTCCTTTAATAATTACATCATGTCCATTCGAGCCATCAGCAAAAACTTCGATCGCATTATTTCGAAGGACAGAGTCGAGTCATTGTAAAGTAAAAAGTTGGATTCTAATAATTCAGATAAAATTTGTTTTTATATATAACCTGGAGAGACAAAGGAAAGTTTAACATGAGCAGTCGGATTGCAAAGACTGAATTAAGATTGGTTGTAAAGCAAGTTGTTACCATACCAATATAAAGAGACATTTACAAATTTAGATCGAAGACTTAATTCATGGAAAGAGCATATGTAAACGGGAAATAGACTCGGTCCAACCATCGGATTCTAGAGTTAGCGACAAAAATGGTTATAAGGAAAGATGCAAATAGAAAATGGAGAGAAGAAAGTCCTTCCTAAGGGAAAATTTGAACGGGAAATGGAAATTTGAACGGGTTTAAACATTAACTTTAGTAGATATAAAATATAATCGTTGAAAATTAGAATAAGTCATTGCTTCACTGCTTTGTGAGTACTTTCAAGAAGAAAGGGGCAAATAGAGGATACGAAGAAGCAAATGGAGATTTGGAAAAAATTAAAGAAAGAGTAGCTTAAATGCTTCGTTCCTAGCTAGTAAAACTATATTATCAAACCCAATCTTGTATACTAGCAATGAATTTAAACTTTTTAATCGTACATTAGAATGATCGAAATAATATATTCCCTCCAATTTCCCAATGTTTTCAGAATAGGACAATTACATAGCAGTTGAACTATACTGTCTTCTTGGTCAACTTCTGCAATGACCTGTAATCAGTGATATATAAACGAATATGAAGACCTAAGTGATAGATAGGTTCAGAAGAAGGATGTCAAATATGGTGAAGTTTGCACAAAAACTTTCAATATGAACCTCGTACAAAGTAAAGATTTAGTCGTATTATGTAAAATTTTATTATCTATATAAAAGCAAAACTCTGGGTAGATTAGACGACGACGATCGTTAAAAATATTTTGAGAATACATAGTTAATTTAAAGATGGCATAACAATTTTGTTATTGAAACGATTTCCCATGTTGATTTTTTCTTGCATTTTATACTTTAACTGCATGCATGTGGAATTCCATTAAGAACTTTTCCACTGCCTTTTAACTCTTTAGTATTTTGTTTTTATTTCCTACTACAATTTTTGTTTCGCTGGTAGCCTCTCCCAAGTTTTTTCTTCTTTAGCGATTCTTTTTTTTTTTTGTTTGCTAAATAATAATGGTTGTTGGTTGTATTACATATTTGAAACAATTGCTAAATGATTGTTGGTTGGTTACACTATTTTGTTCTCGTTGTTCTTATTGTTGTGTTGTTATGAAAAAAACAGCTGCAGTGATCTGTATTTCTGTTGCCTTTTGTTTTTGATCTTGTTTTAAGTTGTCGTTATTGTGTTGTTAGTTGTGTTATTTCTTCTATTGATCATGATGATGTTGCTGATGATGGTGTGTAGTAGTAGTGAGTGAATTAGTCTCTATTATCTATCTGCGCATTGCTTCTATGATTTTTTTCGTTGCTATACGTACTTCTACACTTACTAGAAGAGTAGAGTTGAGGCTCCTACTTAAGGCAATTATGAATAAATTTCTCATATTTCAAATCTCATACACTACATAAATGGGCACTTCTAACGGTACAATAGCTTTTATTGCACGATACACAGAGGTGAGAGACGTGTGCTGAAAAGAAACAAATATGAATCTAGCGAGGAAAAAGAGTGTTGCCGTTTGCGATAAATTTTTGATGATGCGTTAAAATAAGCGAAAATTTGAGCGTTCATTATTGCAAAACGCATTTAGTTGATTATTTTATTTTGTTGTATAGGTTTCATTTCTTTTTTATATCTACCCTTGTGATCTTCTCCATTATAGCATAGATCCGTTTATATCATTCCATGTAAACAACAACTTTTTCGTTGTTCCTTGATGTTGTAGAAGGTCAACCCTTTTTCAGGAAACATTATTTCTTTTTCGTTCGGAAGTAGGTAGCGTATATATGAAATAAGCCGGATTTCGAAAAATATGTCTTTAAGCAATCCAAAGACATTAATCAGAAGACACATTTTCGAAGCGGTCGAAATCTTCCTTAAATATTCATAGTAGATATATCAATTACCATACCAGCACTACAAAAAACCATCTATATAGTGCGAAATCTATATTACATGTTGACGAGTTAATAGTTTAGAGTATTCCCTGGAACTCTCAAGAGTATTGGACAGATTAGTTGTCAGCGTTGAAGATTTTACTCTTTATTGTCTAAATATAGGAAACATTAAATCATCATTAGAAGTATTGAACAGAGACTGAGCCCATCATGAACAATTCTGATGCCGTTATCTGAAGAATATTATTGGTTAAGAACAAGAAGAAGTTCAACCACTGATTTAGAGCATTCAAGTTCAAATAGAGAAAATAAAGTAACGAATAGGGAATATGTATCCTTGTGATCTTCTCCATGATAGCATAGGTCCATTTATATCATTCCATGCAAACAACAACTTTTTCTTTGTTCCTTGATGTTCTAGAAGATCAACCCTTTTTAAGGAAACATTATTTCTTTTTCGTTCGGAAGTAGGTAGCGTATATATGAAATAAGCCGGATTTCGAAAAATATGTCTTTAAGCAATCCAAAGACATTAATCAGAAGACACATTTTCGAAGCGGTCGAAATCTTCCTTAAATATTCATAGTAGATATATCAATTACCATACCAGCACTACAAAAACCATCTATATAGTGCGAAATCTATATTACATATTGACGAGTTAATAGTTTAGAGTATTCCCTGGAACTTTCAAGAGTATTGGACAGATTAGTTGTCAGCGTTGAAGATTTTACTCTTTATTGTCTAAATGAGCCAATCATGAACAATTCTAATGCCGTTATCTAATGAATATCATTGGATATGCACAAGAAGAAGTACAACCACTGATTTAGAGCATTCAAGTTCAAATAGAGAAAAGAAAGTAACGAATAGGGAAAAAGAAAGATTAGGATAAATACTACGTCCCTGACTAGTAATATTATGGAATCAAAACCAATTGGACACTTGAGAATACATTTAATAAATGTACAAGTTTCGGAGGAGACAATTACATAAAAGTTGAACTATTGACTATTCTTCAAAACTTTTTAGAGTGCCTGATAGGAAGAAGCTCAGCCACTGATTTAGATGAATCAAAAAGAATGGAGAATAGTTATTAGTTTCAATTGCATCTCCATGTCCAATTAGAAGCAATGGATTTAATGTGCAAACAATTTGTTGGCTTGTTTAATTCAAGTGCAGACTTTGTGGATCAAAACATACAGATTTGTAAGAATATCGGCTTATAGTTATTCGAAAGTAAGGTCAAATGTTGGTGTGAAATTGTCCTGTTGAGGATTGGTTTGAATTAATAAAAACATAAAATCATTAATTTATAGTTCTTTATAAAAACTCTGTAAGAAACAGCAGTGATCAAAAGCTACTCAAACTAGAATTCAATAGCCTTGAGGTCAGCAATCTTGGGGGTTACTTTAATTCGAAAACTTTTGGTATGTGGTATCTACTTTTTTAAAACTCCGCCGGAAACAGCAAATATAGTTCAAATGGATATATGAGGACGGCATTTTTTAACGATATGACAGAGTTGCTAAAAAAAGTAATACATTTAAACTTCCGGTTGGACTACACCAAATCTGGGTCAACATTCTTCTTTAAACAAAACACATCATTATTTGAAAAACAATACTTATACTTATACAATAATTATTTTATTTAACAAAATTATTAATTTCAAAACTACAACTCAAAAAACCTTTGGCAACACTGATATTGCTATTGTTCTTAATACTTTTTTAATGTTGGATTTCTTTTGTTTCGACGTATTTGTTTGATGTTGTGACTGACGGTAACTCTCTTTTATTGTTTTTTTTTTTTTTTTAATTTTCCATAAAAAGTAATAATTCTTTTTTGTTTTTGTTATTCAATTTGTGTATATTAATATTTTTTTTTAAACAAATTTATATTATTTTTATACAAGTATGATTTATTATACATCTTTTTTTATAATTAATCAACACAATAGATTTACGTTTTTAAAACTCATTGAATTACATAGTAGTAAGTAATTAATTACAAGTTGTATGCATACAACATCATGGTGTTTGGCACTACAATATGCAAAATAAAATAAACTTTTGTTGAATGCAACAAAACAACCAACCGTCACATACTTAGTATGAACACGGCTGTCGTTTGGCTGATCCCTTGTAGCCATAATGTGAGAATATTTAATTTTTAATAGTTTTTTTTTTCTTTCATTTTTTTTTTTTTTGTTAACACATTCACATCATTTGGTTTTTTTAGTTAATGTATAAGAAAAAGATCCCTTGTAGTTTTGGCTTGAAAAAAAAAAACCTGTGTCTTTTTCTTTAGATAAATTTAATTATAAAATTGGAGTTTGTTGCGCTTTGAACCGTAGTGAAAGTCGTCTCTACATTTTTACTGAAATTTTTTTATTTTATTTTTATTTTTGCTTACATTTCTTTCTTCCTCTTTATTTGTGCAAAATTTCTTTCTATATATTGCTTTATTTTTTTTTTCTTTTTCAATCTTATTAAATATTTTTCTTTATCGCGTTTTAACTAAAACTGCGCTTAAGAAGTTATTTCTAATTTTTTGTTTGTTAATTTTGTTAGTTTAGTTTTTTGTTATACACTTCTTTCCGTTAACAAGTTAAAAATAAAAATTTCTAAGCGCTTCACACCGGTTTAAACGTTGTTTACTTAATCACGCTTCTCCCAAGACTGACTTGTGCCACAGGTGTTCTCTCTTTTAGTTTTTCTATAAATATATTTGTTGCTTTCAGTTGATCGGTGTAGTTTGATGGTAAGACGTTCTTAACCTGGCTTAAACACATCAAGATGGTGTAAGCCATGGCACATTATGTTCAAAAAAAAACAAGAAAATTGTAGTAGTATATGAGTTAGTGAGAGAGTTCGAGAGCGTGTTACGGAAATGATCGTGCAGAGAGTATCTAACAATATGGTCAATTGATAATTTGTTGAATGAATACAAAAATGTTGAACATGGTGGACTCTAGAAAATACATTTTAGGTGAATAAAATAAATGATCACAGATTTTCTTTATTTGTCGATTTAGAGCGTTATTTAAGGATGTAGAGCCATTTTTAGTTTTCAATGCAAAAAAATCGATTTTTGGTGAATAAAATAAGTGATCACAGATTTTCTTTATTTTTCGATTTAGAGCGTTATTTAAGGATCTACAGCCATTTTTAGTTTTTTATACAAAAAATCGATTTTTGGTGAAGTAAATAAGTGATCACAGATTTCTTTATTTTTCAAATTAGAGCGTTATTTAAGGATCTAGAGCCATTTTTAGTTTTCAATGCAAAAAATCGATTTTTGGTGAATAAAATAAGTGATCACAGATTTTCTTTATTTTTCGATTTAGAGCGTTATTTAAGGATCTACAGCCATTTTTAGTTTTTTATACAAAAAATCGATTTTGGTGAATAAGATAAGTGATCACAGATTTTCTTTATTTGTCGATTTAGAGCGTTATTTAAGGATCTACAGCCATTTTTAGTTTTTTATACAAAAAATCGATTTTTGGTGAATAAGATAAGTGATCACAGATTTTCTTTATTTTTCGATTTAGAGCGTTATTTAAGGATCTACAGCCATTTTTATTTTTCAATACAAAAAATCGATTTTTGGTGAATAAAATAAGTGATCACAGATTTTCTTTATTTGTCGATTTAGAGCGTTATTTAAGGATCTAGAGCCATTTTTAGTTTTCAATGCAAAAAATCGATTTTTGGTGAATAAAATAAGTGATCACAGATTTTCTTTATTTTTCGATTTAGAGCGTTATTTAAGGATCTAGAGCCATTTTTAGTTTTTCATACAAAAAATCGATTTTTGGTGAATAAGATAAGTGATCACAGATTTTCTTTATTTTTCGATTTAGAGCGTTATTTAAGGATCTACAGACATTTTTAGTTTTTCATACAAAAAATCCATTTTTGGTGAATAAAATAAGTGATCACATATTTTCTTTATTTTTCAATTTAGAGCGTTATTTAAGGATCTACAGACATTTATAGTTTTTCATACAAAAATCGATTTTTGGTGAATAAAAAAAAATAAGTGATCACAGATTTTCTTTATTATATTAGAATAAAATAATCTACAGACATTTTTAGTTTTTCATACAAAAAATCCATTTTTTGGTAAATAAAATAAGTGATCACATATTTTCTTTATTTTTCGATTTAGAGCGTTATTTAAGGATCTACAGACATTTTTAGTTTTTCATACAAAAATCGATATTTGGTGAATAAAATAAGTGATCACAGATTTTCTTTATTTTTCGATTTAGAGCGTTATTTAAGGATCTACAGACATTTTAGTTTTTCATACAAAAAATCGATTTTTGGTGAATAAAATAAGTGATCACAGATTTTCTTTATTTTTCGATTTAGAGCGTTATTTAAGGATGTAGAGACATTTTTAGTTTTCAATACAAAAAATCGATTTTTGGTTAATAAAATAAGTGATCACAGATTTTCTTTATTTTTCGATTTAGAGCGTTATTTAAGGATCTACAGCCAATTTAAGTTTTTCATACAAAAAATCGATTTTTGGTGAATAAGATAAGTGATCACAGATTTTCTTTATTTGTCGATTTAGAGCGTTATTTAAGGATCTAGAGCCATTTTTAGTTTTCAATATAAAAAATCCATATTTGGTGAATAAAATAAGTGATCACGGATTTTCTTTATTTTTCGATCTACAGCCATTTTTAGTTTTTCAGATTTAGAGCGTTATTTAAGGATATATAGTCATGTTTAGTTTTCAATACAAAAAATCGATTTTTGATGAATAAAATAAGTGATCACGGATTTTCTTTATTTTTCGATTTAGAGCGTTATTTAAAGATCTACAGCCATTTTTAGTTTTCAATACAAAAAATCGATTTTTGGTGAATAAAATAAGTGATCACCGATTTTCTTTATTTTTCGATTTAGAGCGTTATTTAAGGATCTACAGACATTTTTAGTTTTTCATACAAAAAATCGATTTTTGGTGAATAAAATAAGTGATCACAGATTTTCTTTATTTTTCGATTTAGAGCGTTATTTAAGGATCTACAGCCATTTTTAGTTTTCAATACAAAAAGTCGATTTTTGGTGAATAAAATAAGTGATCACAGATTTTCTTTATTTTTCGATTTAGAACGTTATTTAAGGATCTACAGACATTTGTAGTTTTTCATAAAAAAAATACATTTTTGGTGAATAAAATAAGTGATCACAGATTTTCTTTATTTTTCGATTTATTGTGAATAAAATAAGTGATCACAGATTTTCTTTATTTTTCGATTTAGAGGGTTATTTAAGGATCTATAGTCATGTTTAGTTTTCAATATAAAAAATCGATTTTTGGTGAATAAAATAAGTGATCACAGATTTTCTTTATTTTTCGATTTAGAGCGTTATTTAAGAAACTAGAGCCATTTTTAGTTTTCAATACAAAAAATCGATTTTTGGTTAATAAAATAAGTGATCACAGATTTTCTTTATTTTTCGATTTAGAGCGTTATTTAAGGATCTACAGCCAATTTAAGTTTTTCATACAAAAAATCGATTTTTGGTGAATAAGATAAGTGATCACAGATTTTCTTTATTTGTCGATTTAGAGCGTTATTTAAGGATCTAGAGCCATTTTTAGTTTTCAATATAAAAAATCCATATTTGGTGAATAAAATAAGTGATCACGGATTTTCTTTATTTTTCGATCTACAGCCATTTTTAGTTTTTCAGATTTAGAGCGTTATTTAAGGATATATAGTCATGTTTAGTTTTCAATACAAAAAATCGATTTTTGATGAATAAAATAAGTGATCACGGATTTTCTTTATTTTTCGATTTAGAGCGTTATTTAAAGATCTACAGCCATTTTTAGTTTTCAATACAAAAAATCGATTTTTGGTGAATAAAATAAGTGATCACCGATTTTCTTTATTTTTCGATTTAGAGCGTTATTTAAGGATCTACAGACATTTTTAGTTTTTCATACAAAAAATCCATTTTTGGTGAATAAAATAAGTGATCACAGATTTTCTTTATTTTTCGATTTAGAGCGTTATTTAAGGATCTACAGCCATTTTTAGTTTTCAATACAAAAAGTAGATTTTTGGTGAATAAAATAAGTGATCACAGATTTTCTTTATTTTTCGATTTATTGTGAATAAAATAAGTGATCACAGATTTTCTTTATTTTTCGATTTAGAGGGTTATTTAAGGATCTATAGTCATGTTTAGTTTTCAATATAAAAAATCGATTTTTGGTGAATAAAATAAGTGATCACAGATTTTCTTTATTTTTCGATTTAGAGCGTTATTTAAGGATCTAGAGCCATTTTTAGTTTTTCATACAAAAAATCGATTTTTGGTGAATAAAATAAGTGATCACGGATATTCTTTCTTTTTCGATTTGACAACACTCGTCGTTGTCTGTTTCTGTTAAGTTATAAACAGTTGTTCTGTTATTAACATTATAGAGATGAATTGAAATACTACACTGTTAAAACATGTTTGTTTTTCACATTCTGTTTTGATTACAGTTTTACATTGTTTATTTTCTGTCATTTAATACTTCCAAGTTCAATTGCCTTTTTGTAACTTTTCTTAATTAAAATACATGAATTGAGATAAATGATTATAAAAATTAGATTATCATGGAAATAAATATAACATGGAATATTTGTCGAGTGTGTTTACAGGAAGAAAATAAAAATGCCAAAGAATCTAACACCGAATTGCGAAACATATTTGATGAAGACAAAAAATTGGCTCAGCATATTTATGAATTTACTGGGATTATGGTAAGTATGAAAAGGAACATTATAGATTACTTTATTAAAACTTTATAATTTAGATGCAACCACATGATTCCTTGCCGGACAAAATATGTTTAAAGTGTTTAAAAATTGTTAATAATGCGGTGCATTTTCGAAAAACGTGTCGTGCCTCCAATAGTTATTTACAAAACGTGTTGGAACGCACTAAATCGGCTAGCTCATTGTTTAAACCTGCTGTACACACTAGTGTTGCTAGTGATGATGATGATGGGTTAGAAGAACAAATGGAAACAGAGGCTGTTAGCGAAAATGAACATTCGCAAGTTGAAAAGGCTATAGAAAGTGAATCTGATAATAAGATTGTTCTTCAAGAAAAAATAGTTGAAGTAGTTGAACATATGGAACATGTAGAACAGGCGGTGGTAGACGAAGCGGTTAATGATACAGCCGTAGATTTAGTAGAAGTGATGGAGCATTCCGAAGATTTAATTAACGAAATTATAGATGATAATACAGACAACACACTGACCAATTTAAAGCTTTTAAAAGAAGAAACTAAAGATATTTCAAAAATGACAAAATCTGAATCTTCGCAGTTACAAAAGTTCTATATGAATGCTAGATTTACAAAATTTAAAAGTAGTGAAGAGGAATCAGAAGATTGTAATGAACAGGACTTGGCACAGGCTGATTTAGAAGCGGAACATGAAACTACAAAAGTATCCGAAAAGAAGGATGATTTATATTATCTGCTTAAAGATATTAAAAATGAAATTGCCAACTGTAATGATAACCAAGAAGTCAAACAACAAACAGAGGAACAAAGCCCCCAAACCGATGAGAGTATTGAATATTATGCTATCGAAGATGAAGAAGATTTGGAGGAAAATATTGAACAAGAAGAGGACGTACAGGAAGAGGATTTAATATTCCATTTCGAAGCAAATAACGAGGATAATCCGAACCAAGTTAGTTCAACTGTGGATACAAATGATGAGGCTGAATATAATGAACAAAATTTGAATAATTCCAACATAATTAGTGATTTAGAAGAAGAATATATTATGGATGATAGTGTTAGTAATTACAATGAGATATCTGACCAAGAAGAAACTAAAATAAAATCTCTAGATGTCTCCACTACGGCCGCAAAAACTAGCTGTATATCTATTAGTTCTAGCAGACGTAAACTTAAACGTTATTCAGCTAAAGTTTCAGCAAGCAGTTCTACTACAGGTGGTGTTCAGCAGCAAGTTTGTGTTTGTGAAATATGTGGCAATCAATTTACCAATCGGAATCTAATGAATATACATATGAAGGTACACTATCAGGAAAAGAATCATCAGTGCGAGTAAGTTTTTTTTTTTTTTTTTGTTAATTACTTCTAAAAAGAGTAATTAGAATTGTGACTTGGAGTCAATTAGGATGTTTTTAATGATCACAGATTTTCTTTATTTCTCAATTTAGAGCAATATTTAAGGATCTACTGCCATTTTAGAATTTTCATACTTAATATTGATTTTTGTTGAATAAAATAAGTGATCACAGATTTTCTTTATTTACGATATAATCAACTTTTTTAGATTGTGTTTTAAACGTTTTATTACCGCCTGCAATCTGCAAGCACACATGCGCATTCATACGGGAGAAAAACCTTTTCAGTGCCGCTACTGTGGCAGACGTTTTAATGATCGCAGCTCTAGTTTAAGGCATGAAAGGTAAGTTTAATTGGAAATTTAGTAAAACTTCTATTTAACTTTCATTATTTGTCTTCTTCAAGAACTCACACCAATGAAAAACCATTTAAATGTTCAAGTTGTGGTAAAACTTTTACTTTGGCTACAACTCTACAAAATCACATGAAGGTGCATACCAATGAAAGATCCTATAGGTAAAAATTTGTTAATTTTATGAAATTACTCAAAAATTTAAACTGTTTTTTTTTTGTTATAGATGTGAACCTTGTGGTAAATCCTTTAAATTATCTCATCATTTAAAAACTCATCAAAATACCTCGTTACATCGTTCTGTGGTTAATTAAAGAAAATTAAAGATTTTATTGAAATTTAATGTATTTTTATAAATATTATATACTTTTTGATTTTTTTTTAGAAAAATAAATAAATATAAAATTCTACTTTGCTTTTGAAATGGTAATAAAACTCGCTCTATGCTAATTAAAATCGCTGAATATCTATACTGTTGAATTTAACATGTCTGTTTTAGACTTAACATTTCTATACTTTATGTTACAGCTAGTTAACATTGTTTTGATTCTGCATTCTCTTTTAATCAGCATTTTTATAAATATTAAAGAAAATTATTACAACATTCATATAAACTAAAGTGTTTTATTATATTTCTTATTTTATTAATAAAAATTAAAAGAAATATATTTAAATTTAAAGTAAAACATACATTTCTATTAAATTTTACTTAAAAATGGAAATAAATATAACTTGGAACATTTGTCGCGTGTGTTTGGTGGAAGAACCGAAAAAACATCAAGGTTTAGCGGCAGGTGAGGAATCTATAATGCGTCATCTATTCAATGAGGATAAAATGTTGGCTAAACAAATCTATGAATGTTCCGGCATTATGGTGAGTAGGCTTTTTAAGGAAAAAAATTAATTAATTGATTTTTTTTTTTTTTTTTGCAATTAGATGAAACCCAATGATAGTTTACCCGAAAAAATATGTAAAAAATGCTTTGCAATGGTTAAACAAGCGATGAGTTTTCGTAAAAACTGTCGATCCTCTGATGCGTTTTTACAATCTGTGTTGCAACGCACCAAATCTACTAGTATATTGTTCAAACCGGAAAGGCCTCAATTAGAAGACTTTGAAGAGGATATTATAACTCATGAAAACATAGAGGACGATGAAAATGTAAACACCGTAGAAGCTCCTTCCCCAGTTAAAAAAGAAGAAAATAAACGTTCGCCCACACCTTTAGAACATACGCCCAAAAAATTACGAAAAGATTCCCTCACTAATGAAACAAATAGTAATACCGATGATCTGATAGCTCATGAAGTTGAAGAAGAGGAAATGACGGAGCAGGACTTAAATAATATAGTAGAAATGGAAGAAATATTGCAACCAAATGTAACTGAAGAAAATCACATGCTTAAAGCGGAAAAAGGTGACAATAGTTTGAATACAAATATCAATGATAAACAAACAGAAAATAAGCCTAAAGCTAAAGGTTTAAAAGATAATCCTCCACAAAAACTACAAGATTTTCAAAATGACGAAGTTATTGCCGAAAAGGATTTGAGTGAAATGGAAGAAGAAAACTCAGCTGAAACCAACAATCAAGGATTTTTCATACTTAAACACATTAAAGATGAAAACGAAACAAAGCTCCACGAAGCTGATGATGATGTGGAGGAAGAGCAGCAGGAAGAACACATAGAAACCGATGAACAAGAAGATCAAGAAAGTGTACAATTTCTACCCCTAGAAGATGAACAGGAAGAAGGCGAGTGTCAACAGCTTATGTTACACTCTGATTCCGATATGGAAGACAATCAAGCACAAGTAAGTTCAACTGTTATCACCAAGCAAGAGGAGGAAGAAGAGGAGGCAGAAGCTGGTTTTATCGAACTACAAGAAACAAATTCTAATTTATCAAATGCCAGTCATGATTTATCCACTGAATATATAGTAGATGAATATTTAATTGATGATTCCAATAGTAATATATCATCACAAAACTCTGGCGTGGTAGTAGTTAATTCAAAAATATCCAAATTTGTAACAACCACAAGTAAAAAACGACAAGCTAATCTTGATAATAAAGATTCCCCACAACAGCCGCAAGTATTTGTTTGTGATTTATGTGGCAATAATTTTGCCAGTCGCCAGCTAATAAATGCTCATATGAAAGTACATCGTCAGGAAAAGAATCATCAATGCGAGTATGTATTAGGCGCTGAAGTTTTAAATATTTTACTAAATTGTTGATTTATTTCCTTTTTTAAGATTGTGTTTTAAACGTTTTATTACTGCCTGCAATTTGCAGGCACACATGCGCATTCATACGGGAGAAAAACCTTTTGAATGTCAATATTGTGGTCGACGTTTTAGTGATCGCAGCTCTAATCTAAGGCATGAAAGGTAAAGATTTAAAATAAAAGTTAGTTCCTTTAAATTACTTACTTTCCATTACTTTTTACAGAACCCATACAAATGAAAAACCTTATCACTGTAATGAATGCGGCAAATCATTTTCTCTAGCCACCACTTTAAAAAAGCATCAAAAGGTTCATACGGGAGAACGTTCCTATAGGTATGTACATTTGATTGCCAAATATATTCATTATTTATTTTCTTCTCTTCATATTTTCTTTTAGATGTGAACCTTGTGCAAAATCTTTTAAACTACCACATCAATTAAAGGCCCATAAGAATACCACTTTGCACAGAGCTGTAGAGCAATTGGGTCTATTATCCAATTAATTATATTATTTTTAAGAATTTCTTTGGAAATTTATATTAATTATGAGGAAATTAAGTTCACAGTTTAATATTTTCAATACAAGTACATTTATGAAGATTTGCAATTGATTTATTTATTAGTAATTAAATCTGGCTGCTGTCTTTAAAAGAGATCTTGACAAACCTCTAAAAACGCACCTTCTTCATGACCCGAAGAATATATGTTTTTGGCCCATTCCCTGCAGAAATTCTTTTGAAACTATCGAACAAACAATTAATCTTTTCATTTCTACATATATAGATATTCTCTTATTTTGCAGGTTTTTTCATTTATTTACAATTTAGAATCTAGTGTATAAACATTTGTTTTTATTTTTAGATTTTTTTAAACACATTGTTTTCCATATTTAAATATCAACTGCTGTTTCATAGAGTATCTTATAGCCGGATGCCTCAAATGCAGCCTCTTTTTGTTTGTGAGATATGGTTAGCATATGAGCTTTCAGTTGATGAGCCAAAGTAAAGGATTTATTGCAAATGGAGCAGCTAGAAATAAAAGAAATAACAATGATTAAAACAACTGGATAGATAGACAACAGCATCAATAAATTACTTTTAAAATAAAGTAGTTTTGACCATTTTTTTTTTTTTTATAATTCATTTCACTTACATATAATCCTTTTCACCCGAATGTAATTTCAAATGATTTTTCAATATTGCCGAATACGAGAAACTCTTTGTACATATATTACATTTGTATGGCCTGGAGTTGGTATGAATTCTTTAAAAAATTAAAGAAAAAAGATAATTAAAAATATGAATTTTAAAATTTAAAACTTTGTTTTTTTAATACATACCTTTCATGTCTGTGGCGGGAACTACGATCCATAAAATGACGATCACAATATTTACATTTGAAAGGTTTTTCTCCCGTATGACGATACATATGATTTCTCAAGTCACTCATAATACGATATGATTTATCGCAAAGTCTGAAAAAGTAAAAAATTTTAAAATTTCACTATTGAAATAAAAAATTTTGGTATAAATGATCTTCAATTTATAAGATATTCATCAAATATTATAGATTTTTTTTATAACTTAAGAAATTCCCCTTTCAACTTACTCGCATTGATAAGGCTTAACGTCGGAATGCATACGCATATGATGCTGAAATAGTGGTTTCTTGCTATAAACATTACCACAAATATTACACATAAATGTAGAGGGTTTCGGCAATTTTATAGTCTTTTGTGTTTTCTCCTCTTTAACGTTAGTTTTTGGTTTCGGTTTACTGATTTTCGGTTTACACTTCGTCAGAGCTTTTGCATTCAATTGCCTAATCGTCATATTCTTAGTGGCACAATGATCTATAAACTCTTCCAGTTCTTCATCATCCTCGGCGTTAAGATAAGCCAAGGCTTCATTGTAATCATCTGCTGTCAAAGCTTCTAAAAGATCACCATTATCTGGCATATTTTCCAATTTCAAATTTGCCACATCTATCTCATATTTCCCCAAAGGTTCAGTTTTAACCGCTATATTTTTAACATTTCCCTCATCATCGATCAGGTCATCATCATCTAACTCAAAGTGACTATCCAAATAATTACCCTCATCATCTCCATCATTATCAATCTCTTCATAAATGATAGCACCCACTTCACTATTGTCTGCGGCATCTAGACACTCTATAACATCTTGAGGTTTTTGATTTAATTTTGTACGTATGGTTTGTAAATCTTCCAACTCCTGATCAATATCCACCACATCCTGGCTTTGGGTGGTCAAGAACACTTGCGAGTTGTAGCACATTTGACGAAAATTGAACCACATGTGTACCGTGTTAAAGCATTTTCCACAAATTCGTGTAGGCATGTGTTTCTTATTGTGTAGCTGTTGAAATTCCACAATATATTAAATAATTCATTTAAATATATAAGTATTAACTAATTACTTACCCTTACACCGCAGCAATATTCCACTTTTTCGTACAGTTTCAAATTGCTAAATTCATCATTTTGATCCACTTCTGTTTTAAACGAAATGCCACCATTGTTCTTAAACAATTCATAAGTTTTGGCGATTTCTGTTTCCACCAAACACAGACGACATTTGTCGGTAGATTTTGTAGACATTTTTTTTTGTTTGCTTTTTATTTAATGCATTAATTTATTCTTAAACGAAAAATAATTGAATTATTTTATTTTTTTTTCGATTTTTTAGTGTAGTCTTTTAGTATTTTGGCTTTTGTTTACATAAAAATGTCAAAAGTTTCTCTGAGATGCCATATTGTTTAGGGTTTTTAAACTTGGCAGCACTTTCGTGGTGAGAAATATTTAGCATCAGTGGTGTGTTGGGAAACGGAGACTTGCGCCGATTCGGCTTAAGCCGACTAAGCCTAGCCGCCGAACAAAATGTCAAAGCCGCCGCCGCCGAAAATTTTTCAGCTTAATACGGCTTGAAAATTTCGCCATATTTTGTACAATTTACAGAATACTTTCGCTAAATTTGTGGAATTTTACAATATAAAATTAATTTGTTTTCATTTAAGCAAGTTTTCTTTTATCTAATAATAAGCCGCTCATTGAAATTTGGCCGGTGTAGAACTTTGCTCAACGTCGATGTATATACTTCGCCTCAGATATTTTCGTGTTTTCGCGCCTAATTCGAGTCGCTGCTTTGACTTCAAACCAGCTTCGTTGACGTCAACGGAGCTACACCTTTTTACATTGCTGGTATGTCATACCGTAAAGGGCTAGGGTATCGAACATGTGTATTTCAAATGGGAAGTGCAGTTGATGTCAATTCTGCCGACTGCATTTTTTATTTGCCAAAGGCAAAAAAATCTGTTGTTGTGTGTGTGCAAAAATCTAAAATGACAAATGATATTCTTTAAATAAAAAAATCATTTTTTACTAACAATTGAAATTAATAAGATTGCTATACTACTATACCAAGGGTCATTGTGCAAAGAAACAGCAAGTGTTTGGTTTAATTTAGATAAATTGTTAATAACTATGATAAAAATGTTTGGAAATTCGAATGATTAGGGGGTTAAAAATGGTAAAAACGGGTAAATTCGGTAACCTCATATCTCCTAAACTATAAAAGATACAAAAACAGTTTAAAGCTTATCGTCATTCATTTAAAATATAAGCGGACAGGTGTCTGGTACTTTTTTCAAATTCGGCCCCTTTGGGGAATAAACGGGTAGAAACTGTAATTTGGTACTTCTTTTGCACCCCATGTATCTTTTAAACCAGAGAACATTCAAAAAATATTTTTTGAATTCTTCATAACTTTACGAACAAATAAAAATATGAATTTAGTACTTTTTGGATATTCGGACGTTTAAGGGGTGAAAATTGTACCTATTTTTGGTACTTTTTTTTTAAAACATTGTTTTTGGTTTATTAACTTAACATATGAATACATAATAAATAACGGGCTCCCAATACGATGTTGCAACTGGTACTTTTTTGACTTAGAATTTAGAAACATGTAATTAAGCACTTGAGAATCTATAAAAGTGGACTTTTTGGTACTTTTTAGTTCTTCAAAAGGCACTTTTTGAGTTTTCTATTAAATTGAACATAGAAACATGAAATTATGCACGTAGAGCCTGGAGTAAATGAGAATCTATAAAATGAGAACTTTATCGTACTTCGACTGGTACTTTTTGAGTTTTCCATAAAATTAAACCTAGAAACATAAAAATAAATATGTAGAGCCCGGAGTAAATTATAATCTATAAAAAGGGACTTTTTAGTACTTTTTCGTTCTTCGACTGGTACTTTATGAATTTTTTATAATATTGAACCTAGAAACATGAAATTAAGAATGTACAGCCCGGATTAAGTGATAACATTTAAAAGGGGGTTTTTTGGTACTTTTTCGTTCTTCGACTGGTACTTTTTGAATTTTTTATAATATTGAACCTAGAAACATGAAATTAAGAATGTACAGCCCGGATTAAGTGATAACATTTAAAAGGGGACTTTTTGGTACTTTTTCGTTCTTTGACTGGTACTTTTTGAGCTTGCTACAAAATTTGAACCTCGAAACATGAAATTAAGCACTTAGAGCCTGGAGTAAATGAGAATCTATAAAATTAGAACTTTATCGTACTTCGACTGGTACTTTTTGAGTTTTCCATAAAATTAAACCTAGAAACATAAAAATAAATATGTAGAGCCCGGAGTAAATTATAATCTATAAAAAGGGACTTTTTAGTACTTTTTCGTTCTTCGACTGGTACTTTTTGAATTTTTTATAATATTGAACCTAGAAAAATGAAATTAAGACTTTTTGGAACTTTTTCGTTCTTCAACTGGTTCTATTTGAATTTTCTATTATAATGAACCTAAAAACATAAAACTAACTAAGCAATCAGGGACTTGAGTGAATGAAAATTTAAACTGGAGTATTTCTGGTAATTTTTCGTTCTTTAACTGGTACTTTTTGAATTTTCTAAAATATTGAATATATAAACATAAAATTAAACACGCAGTATCCTAATTGAACGAAAATTTATCTCGCTTACGTCCATTTTGCAAAAATGGCTCGATATCAATCGAAATTTCTATAGGCCATAATTGACCCTGCCCCCTTCAATAATTGATTTTAACGTTTTTTACGTACTTAATAATACCATAATAAAACAATTTTTGTTGGAACGAAAATATGTATGTAATGCAAATATGTATATGAAATCTTCTTGAGAAAATGACTTAAACGCACATAAATGGATTTCAAATGTCGATGTCGACGAAAAAAAAACATTTTTAGGAACCGAAAAATAAAATTATGAGGATCGGTCCGCCAATATAACCCTCTTACAGAAAATCAGTTTATAGCTAATACATCATTCCAAAAGTTATCATTATGATAGAATTATAGTAGAATTAAAAAAAATACTTTAAATTATATATATTACTGATCCAAATTCACATTTAAGTCCCTAATCTGAAAATCACGGTGACGTTCTTATTAATCTAATGATCGGACCACTTCCGAAATTTGCTTTTTTACGACATATGATTTGTCGTATATAACTCTTACTTCTTACTTATTTTAATTATAAATTACCGCTAAAATAGGAATAGTCTGCCTTTAGTCTATAATTTCCAAATGGTAAGTTCGATTTTAATAAAATTTCGTTTTGTGAAAAATAGGAAACATTCACAATTTAGTCCGGATTGTGATGTAAACAGTATTCATATTTATTTATGGAGAAAAACATTTTGATTAAAAAATTTTTCCAAATATAGAAAAATATATGTTTGGATCTATTTGTAATCTTATTTCTATAATATGGTATAAAATTACAATATCATTTAATTTATGTGGGGTAGCCATAATAGTAAAAATCTTCTGTTGAAGTTATTGGTCATCTGACTATACGTCAATCAAAAAACTTTGTATGCCTTGAAAGGAAGTTTAAGTTAAGCATTAACAGTTCGCAGACCTAGAGCATTCTTTGTCAGGAATTCCCAAAGTAGAGTATTTAGCTCTGTTTTTGATTCACATTTATTGTTTGGAACTCTTCGTAGATATATATTTCTATACATTAATGGAAACTTTACTCTGGATCGTTAATATAGAAAGTATATTTAGTGTTTGCCTACAACTTTTCAATACAATATTTTCAACCAAAATTTTTTATTGAATTCATTTCTTTTAATTTAATGAAAAACATATCAAATAAATTACCAGTTTATATATCTTGTATAAAATAAAACTAATTACTAAAACCAAAACAAAAGATAATTTTATTTTCTCTCCGCCCCCCCCCAATTTAACGCTTCTTAACTTTTCCCTTCTTAACGGCATGCAATGGGCTATCAGTTTCCTTGCTGCCCTTTCGCTGAGACTTATTTTTGTTTTTATTGACTTTGGCGTTAAAGTCCACAACATCTTCCTCATCATCTAGATCAGCATATTTGGCAGCCAATCTATCCATTAAGGAATTAAAACCACTTTCACGTGATTTTTGTCTAGCCATTATGGCCTGCTCTAAACTACCGCCTCCAGCCATTGTTGCTGCACCAGCAGCATCAGCTCGCTTTTTATTTTTAGCCTCAATTTTTGCTTTAATTTGTTCAGCCTCTTTAGATTCACGTGCATATTTCTTGTGGCGCTTCTTACGTTTTTGTTCGGGCTCTTCGGTAAAGATTTTGTATTCCGGCACCTCACCGGCAGCTATCAATTCTTGTATCAACTCCTGTATGCGCGGTTCATCTTCCACCTTCATGAAAGGCACAGAATTGATCATATAATTAATGCAGCCTTTACCCTGTAAATAGGCTTTCTTAATGTCTGCCTTTTCTAGCTCCGAACCCACATAGGATTTCTCATAGTTGTTTATATCTTCTTCGGTTAAAGGTTTGAAGAGTTTTCTCCACAATTCCAGCCAATTCGATAGTTTGCCCTCCAAATTATCATCGTCATCATCAATAATACCCTGTTCATCGTACAGCGCTCGCTTCTGTTGATCAGTCAAGATTTGATACAATTTCGACAGCAACTTAAATTTTTCTGTGGCTGCTTCCTTTTGTGCCTCCGGTACACGATCGGGATGTACTAGCAGTGATAATTTGTAATAGGCTTTTTTAATGTCTTTTTCGGCCGCCGTTTTCTCAACATCGAATAATTTGTAGACATCGCGTGTGTCGAAGTATTTTTCACACAATTCCAAAGTAGACATTTTTTTCTTAAATTTGTCGTAATTCGCAAACAATATTGTACTTTATAATTTAGAAAAATTTAATAAATTTCACAAGAAATATTTTAGTAATTGACAGACTTGGATGTAAATAAAAAATGATGAAAATCGTCTTCAAGAGGCGCGAAGAAGAAGTGGATAAACAAGAAAAAAAACATCTGTATTTTTGTTTTTGCAAATACAGTGTCGCATTTTGTTATACAAAGTTGCCAGATAATGTTTTTTGGATTAAGAGGCGTTTTTTAGTTTTTTAAAGAAGTGTTATAAAAAAATTTTTAGTAGCTAAAAGTGTTATAAACAAATTTTTCTATAGGAAAAAGTGTTACAAGCTGTTTTTATATAGAAGTAAGTGTTACACAAAAATTTTTCTATAGCAGAAAGTATTATACTTAAATTTTTGTATAGAAAGTGTTATACACAAATTTTTCTAGAGAAAAAAGTGTTATACAAAAATTACTCTATGAAAATAGTTTTATACAAAATTTTTCTATAGGAAAAAAACTTTTGAATTCTTTTTATATTCTTTTTTTATTGTAATAATTTAAGTCAAATTTGATTTTTAAGAAAATAACATTTATATCAATTTAACATTTACAAGAATAAGTTCATTTTAAAATAGAAAAAAGGCTGCTTCTTCAGTTTATCTTTAAGTTTTATACAAGAGAATATAGAATTTGTTTATACGCTCTTTTTTAAGTGAATACACCAGTTCAAAAACTACCAAAAATTATGCAGTATATAAAATACAGTTAAAAATTATTTCTTCTCTCTGACCATTAACTTTGTTCTAAATTTGCTTAAGTTGGAAAATCGAATTAAAATATGAAATTAATTTGAAGTAGTAGAACTAACTGAAGAAGGATTTTCTTCTACCGGATCTTCACTTATATCCTCATCATCCAGAGAATTATCAAATTGTGTACAGGAACGTAATTTATTTAGTTGTTCATAAAAATGGGTACTATGAGCCACCGCCAAGGGAGAAACATTGAAAAGCGGATGGGTGGGCATAAGTTCATTAATGGGATCACCCAATATGGCAGGATTTAAAGCTGATTCCGAATGTTGAGCTATGGCTACACCGCTTAAAGTATAGCAAGTGTGATATAGATCTTGGGGTCTATAGGGAGAAGAGAAATTAAAAGTTTATTTTATAATAAATTAAAGGAGATTTAAAATACTTACTTGCCCGGCTTGTCAATGAGTCCACCATTGGGTTTTTGGCAGCATAACAAGATGTATTCCTGCAGAGCTCCTACATCGAACAGGGATTTTGAAATAGGTTTGCCATCATTGGCCATGATGGCTTGTGTTATAGGTATAGTGGCACCCACCCAAAAGGAATAGCAACCATCCACCAGTTTATTGGTACGTCCCTGAAAACCTCCTTCATAGGCCATTTGACGTTGTAGAGTCCATTTCTATTTTAAAAACGGCATTATTATTTTGTTTTACATATTTTCCTTTGCTTCTTAATGATTCTTTACCAATAACTGTTCTTGATCACATTTATGGCCTTCGTTAAGCAAAGCCAAAGCAGCTATGCCACAGAAGGTATAACCACCATGAGCCTCTAGATCGGGAGCACCACCAAAACCGCCCTCATAGGTTTGGCAGCTGGCAATCCAATCCCCAGTCTTATCAAATAGTTTACTTAACGTACTCTGCGGCATATTTGTAAGTTTAGCCACAGACACAGCACAGTAAGCTCCCCGCACATCACATTCACCATCAACATGTAATCGAAAAGAACCATCTGGTTCTCGCACAGCAAAAAGAAAACGCTCCAAGGAATCCCTATCAATGGCACGAAACGCACTGGGTGTGCCTATCATGGCTAAACTATTGACAGCTGCATATGTAGGAGCCAAGTGAGGATATTGACCCGGACCTCCCGCAAAACCTCCCTGAGGATGACGACATCTAGGAAAGCCATATTTTTTTTTACATAAAATATGTAAAATTGGTTGTTTTTGCGCACTTACTTGACTAAAAATTGTACTACTTGTTCTAGGGTTTCGGGTGAAAATGTAAAATTCAATACATGACCTGCTTGTAAAATCCAATATATACACCAGGGTCGACTGCTATCCAAGCACTCATAGTTGCCCGGCAAACGATGTAACATACTTTCCAGAAATCTTTGATGTTCTTCCCTATAATAGCGTGTTATATGTTTATCCAGCATACCTATTTGTTGAAATCTATCGAAATATTTCTCTATAGAATTTTCCGTTTTTTGCTAAGTACAAAAAGAAATAATAATTGTATATTAAATTATTTGTCATTCATCTATTTGTCAACACACACACCTGTTCCCTTGAAGTCACTGTCGAAACTTTTTCATCGTCAAATTTAAAGTTTTTTATAAAATTAAAATCACGAAATTCCAAAGTTTCTTCCATGTTTAGAAATGATATTAAAAATTAATGTTTTTTTTAATAATAAATAAAAATAAATTCAACAACAAGAAGGCAGATTTTTTTCTAACAAAACAACTGTTTTTGTGTGAAATGTCAGATGTTTTTTGACACTTTTCTCAAAAAGCTTTATTTGGTGTTGCCAGTGCTTATTTTTTATTAGAGTAAAACTGAAAGAAAAAACGTCTACATATTTTTCAAACATTTGTCAAAAATCTGTATTTCCAAAAACATATTAATTTGCTGAAATGTTTGTCGCAGCAATTAAAAAAATCTTCCCAAAATCTTTATTTATTGAAATGTAATGTATTCCGTGATGTTGCCATTTTATGCTTTTGATAATTGCTAAAAAAAATTTCAGCAATATTTGTATAAGTGTTACCAGAACAAAAAATTTTGGGAAATGGAATAAAACAAAAAAATCCAGAGCATATTTTTAGGATGATTTTTTAAATTAACAAGAAAATTTTGACAAAACAAATTTGTTTTAATAACACTTATTTAAAATATAACACATGGATTTGTTTTGTTGTTTTTTAACCTAAAAAACGATTTTTAATGTTCTTTAGTTTTGTTTTTGTATAAATGGTGTGTTAAAAGCAAAAGCTTTCTTTTTTTAACATGTCGTTTTTCATATTAGTAAAAAGCTTTTTTCTACATCTGGCAATATTAGAAAAACTCAAAATATACATTTTGCCGCAGCCATCCAACAGGGCGCCGTGGCTTAGTTGGTTAAAGCGCCTGTCTAGTAAACAGGAGATCGTGAGTTCGAATCTCGCCGGGGCCTTCACTAGTTGATGATCAGTTTTTTTGTTTATTTTCCAATTTTTTTTACAAATACAAAGTTGTTTTTTAGTTTTGCTCAGAATTGTTTTGTTTACATTTTCTATAACGGTAAAATATGAGCTGCCATATGAGTTTATTTGATCTTGTTTATAATTTTTTTCGGAAAAGTAGTTAGAAGTAGGAAAAATTATAATTTTAAGGGACTTTTAAGCAAAATAATATGTAAACGTTTTTACATATGTATTTACTTTTTGCCAGAGTACTTGTATAGTTTATGTATACCCTACCATTACAAATATTCTTCTAACAAAATTCCCACAAATCAAATATCATGGCATTCACATTTGTTTGCTAGCCAACAAAAAAGTAAAAAATTTGCATTATAAATTACCACGACTAAAAAAGAAATTACTTAAAATTGCATATATTTATTACGTATAATATAACAAGCATATTTGGCCCAACAAAATTTACATACAAAATAAATTTACTCAAAATGCATGTACATAGTTTGAGAGAAACATGCATCATTTGGGGGAAAAAATATGGTTTCTAAATTTTTGTGTAATATTTAAAATATGAAATATGTTGTTAGCTAATAAATAAACAAGTGAAATAAATCTAAATTATTTCTCTGTAAAATTTGTAAAAAAATTTAATATTAAATTTGTAAAGTATATTTACAAATTTAATCTCGATCTATCAAATTTGGATATTAACAAACAACTGTCAAGGCACAGTTTATATAATTTTTTCTGGGTAACAATTTCGATAAAAATAAAGTTGACCTTTCTTAATTCAAAGTTTCTTTTTTATTATTTTCTTTAATTTTATTTGTAATTTTCTATTTGTGAGCTAAATTAACAAAACTTGTGATAAAAACTTCTAAATTATACCTGTTAATCCGCCAAAATATCAAATTTATATTTAAAAACCTTAATTTTCTCAAAATATTAAATATTCTTTAAAAACTTACAAAATAATCTCTTTTATACATCCATCCCCATTATATTTCCCCCCTTTCATATCATCTGGCATCTTTGTAAACAATTGTCTTTGATGTTTGTTGACATTTTGTCTTGGACAGTGATTATTAAAAAAGCTCTTGCAGCGCATCTCACTTAAAAATTTTGTGTTTTAGTGAATATTATTTTATTTGTTAAATAAAATTTTAAATTGTAAATATTTAAGAAACTAATTGTTAAAAAAGCAGACATTACAGTGTTTAGTGAAAAATGTGTTTTTATAAAAGAGTAAAATAATATTTTATTACTAGTTTATTGTTGCCGAAAACAAGAAAAAAATCACAACTACATAAAGTGTAATAATTTTAGTTACAATCGCGTGCAATTGCAACGTTTTAACAAAAAACAACAGCAACAACAACAAAATGCGGACAATATTTAAAAATTTAAATTTTAAATTTTTCCACTTGTTTTTCCGATTTTTTTGGATTATGTTTTTTAAAATTTGGTTTTCATATGAAAACAAGGCGTATGCATAATTGGAAGACGCCTTTAATGTAGAAACAAAAACAACAATTGTATTAGAAAATAAGCCACAACAACAACATAAACTAAAAGAAAATTTTCACCTTTTAGTTATTAACTGGGAGACAGTGTTACCAAGCTGTGAATTTTCATAGGTTACATAGGGGGACATTTTTAAGAATAGAAATCCTTTAGGTCAATTTCTAAGAAGACACTTAATAATAATAGGTGTTCGAGAAAACAGAGAGGGATGGAGAAGAAGGCTAACTCTTCCCTAGCTGTAACGCTATAAGATTATGATACTACTAATTTAGAATTTTCTGCTTTTTTGGCGATTCATTCTTTTATGATTTTCTTGAAATCTACTTGGAAACACTATTTTATTTTGATTTATTTCTATGTATGTATATGGGTTTGTGTGTGTAAAAAGGAATATTTTATAATTTCTAGCAAAATAGTGGTATTTTCCACTTTTTCATAAGTCTTAACTGTGTAATTAAGCCATAAATTCTAAATTCTTTCTTTTTTGTATAAATGATTTACTTTACAAAGTTGTGTTTTGAAAACCCATCAGCCATTACAAATATTTAGTATGTCTGACATAAATCTATGTTAATTTTTTTTTGTTATTGCATTTACTGTTGTTTTTATTAAAGAAACGTTTGAAAAATGGAGGATTAACAGAGACGTGCAAACTTTTAAAACAGAAAGAATATAAAAATGTTCAAATAATCAGGGTCGTTTTGATTGATATTTTTCAAATTAGCCAAAATGGTGAACAACAACTGAACTAGAACTGTAGCTGAACTAGAACTGAACTAAACTAGAACTGAACTAGAACTAAAACTGAACTGACTGAACTAGAACTGAACTAGAACTGAACTAGAACTGAACTAGAACTGAACTAGAACTGAACTAGAACTGAACTAGAACTGAACTAGAACTGAACTAGAACTGAACTAGAACTGAACTAGAACTGAACTAGAACTGAACTAGAACTGAACTAGAACTGAAACTAGAACTGAACTAGAACTGAACTAGAACTGAACTAGAACTGAACTAGAACTGAAACTAGAACTGAACTAGAACTGAACTAGAACTGAAACTAGAACTGAACTAGAACTGAAACTAGAACTGAACTAGAACTGAACTAGAACTGAACTAGAACTGAACTAGAACTGAACTAGAACTGAACTAGAACTGAACTAGAACTGAACTAGAACTGAACTAGAACTGAACTAGAACTGAACTAGAACTGAACTAGAACTGAACTAGAACTGAACTAGAACTGACTAGAACTGAACTAGAACTGAACTAGAACTGAACTAATGAACTGAACTAGAACTGAACTAGAACTGAACTAGAACTGAACTAGAACTGAACTAGAACTGAACTAGAACTGAACTAGAACTGAACTAGAACTGAACTAGAACTGAACTAGAACTGAACTAGAACTGAACTAGAACTGAACTAGAACTGAACTAGAACTGAACTAGAACTGAACTAGAACTGAACTAGAACTGAACTAGAACTGAACTAGAATTGAACTATAACTGAACTATAACTGAACTAGAACTGAACTAGAACTGAACTAGAACTGAACTCAAAAAAAAAAAAAAAAAACTAGAACAAAAATAGACCCAATCTATATAAGAACTAGAACAGAAACAATATACATAATTCCCGAAAAGTGTTTCCAATCAAAATACTAACATCACAATGTTATTTATTAAAGTAGTATAAATAAAATTTTTGATTAAAAAAAGTACCTTAAGCTCAACTTTCCTTTCCTTGTAAACGTTACTGCACACTTTAAAAACAATTATTTCTTGTGTGTTAATGAAACAACAAAGTTTTTTAATGTTTTTATTGCTGTTGTTTTGTACTTTTATTATTTTAGCATAAAAGTGTTTTGCTTGTAACTACTGGCAATTTTCTATGCAAATTGATATAAACCTAAAATTTATAGAACAACACTACCACAATTTATAAACAAACTAGTATTTTACTAGAATAGCAAAAAAAAAATTGTACTTGGATGTATTTTCCTTGGCTTTTTCTTTTCTTAAACAAACCAATCATAAGAATTGCATACAATATTCATAATATTGCATGTTATAAATTGGCATCTTTTTTATTATTTGAGCTCTAAATACAATGAAATGAAGAAGAAAAAAGAGTAAAACATATATTTAAATATTGCACCTTGACTTGAAGAGTTGTAATGTTTTAAATTACAAACAGAAAATGTTCCTATAGTTTTTGAACACTAATTTTATGGTTTTTCTATTCAAATTGACATTTACTAATGGTTGTGTGTTATATGGGTAAAAATAAAACACTTCCATAAGAGAATATTAACATATTTAATTAACGAAAAAATTAAAAAGAATTGAATTTTTTTAAAGGTTTACAGAGGGTCTACTGGCAAATAATTTTTAGGTCAGTGCGCGTGTCGACGAGCCCCCCTTTACTTAAAATTATTTATTTGTTTGTAGCTGTGTTTTTGATGAGTTCTTTACAATGACCAACAATTAGCATAATCGTTGTTGTTTGTTAAAATTGCACAGTGAGTATGCGCCATGTCCAACGACCAGTAGTGTCTAAAAATGTTTAATAAAACTTCTTGAAACTTGTCTAAAAGTTTAGGGTAAACAACATCTTTTGTTTTTTTCCTCATTGCTGCTTTATAGAGAAATATTGACCCTAAATTCTTGAGTTTTTCTTTTTCTTGTCTTCTGTTTTTTTTTTTTGGTTGGTTTAACCCTTTTTGTGCCAAATTTAATTATTATGCATATAAGTATCGCTGATAAGTATCTGAAACTTAAGCTTATTTCAC